TTAAAGCCTGTTTCAGAGATAGAAAACTAAATCACTACAGAAAATCTATGGAGTATGATAAGTTTTCCATCACTTCTAAATAAAATGAGTTGATGAATAGTACTAATCATGCTATAATCCATAAGGCCAAGTATCGAATTATGCATCAAAGATACCAACCTTAGCAGAAGTAGGTTTCCTATTCCAAAGACCACATTGGGCATTTATGCCAAATCTTGTATATTTTTGCGCATTTCATTTCATCAGACAGTGAACAACCAAATTATTCTCAAATTACTGTGCAGTAGTTACAAATTGTTAGATAATATGAGCATGAACTACAGTATGTTTGTGTGTGTGTGTGTAAAAACCAGAAAATACCATGAAGAAAAGGCAGCGCAAGAAAGGTACTAAACCCGATACTTTCAAACCTTGAATTTAAACCCTAAAACCCGCATACAAGAAGTCCAAAAATATGATAATGCACACCTGTATGTCATAATGGTTTATATTGATATATTCATGCAAATACTATTCATATCTGAGAAAAAACAGAGTACTGATCAAGAACATGGAAACATATTCATTTGAACCTTCCTTGCAAACATCCATTCCACTAAGGTCATCTCGTGGATCTGCAATGACAGAGTAAGCAGTATCATTACATTTGCGTTAACTATGAGAGATTTTGCAGGATCCAAATTCTTTGCGAAAATAGCATGGGCCAATAGAAGAGTCGAAGTTTTAAAGGGTGGGAACCAATATGCATAACCCCACTCATATAGCTGAAAATATGGAAATTTAGTTTTACAAATACCTGGTTCGGTGTATCCCAAGATTTTAGCAGATTTAACGACTTGGCTCAATGGCTTGCCATCTTCAACCTCATCATTACATAACCCCATGTACCTGTCAAAACGAAATTTATATAGGTGCTACGCAAACCAAAATTAAAAGATGCATATAGCTGAAAAGTGAAAACCCTACAGAAAAACAAATAATGCGGATTCATCTCAATGCGTTTAAAAATTTATACCACTCAAACTTCCAGAAATACGATGGATGGGTCACCAGATGAAATTATGCGATTTATTGATGATATGACTGGAAGACCAGCACCGACCTAACAAATATAAAAACTAAATTAGTAGGAAAAGCTTGAGATTGCAGTGCAGAAACATCAAGCTGCATCTGTCCGGTACATGTAGCAAAAAATACAGTAAGGAGATTGTTTCAACTTGGCTTACATTTGACTCAAGCCATATGTGTCGAGGATGTGAAACCAATTTGTCATAATCCTCTGCAGAAAAAGGGAAAGGAAGTAACATGATTACATTGTGGGGCAAAATCTCCACCAAAAGAATACCAAACAAACCTGTTGATTTTCCAAGAATTGATGCAATGTCTAGAACTTTTGTTCTTGATTCGGCTGGAGAACACTTCATTAGCATTCAACAAAGAAGGATAGTAACATCATTAAAATACAATAAAGAAACAGCATTTGTCTGATAAACAAAACATCCGGAAAAAAAAGGAAATAAAAGAATTTACCTAAGCTATTAAGTTTTGACAATGAAAAACCATCCGATTTTACCCTACAAACTTCAGCTAAAATGTTATCATCCAACTCTTTTTGGTTGACATCCGATGCAATAACTAATGATTTACCATCGGATACTCCCACAACTCGTAAATGAACACCCTGCCATGCAACATAAGAGACGACAATCAAATTTACATCCAAATCAATATAATCATCACTCATCAGTCATCACCAATGAAATGATTCAAAAGACTTTTCCTTTAACTCATTTCACTCCACAAACAATTCATCCAATGAAAAAAAAAAAGACAACTTGAAATGAAAGGATGCAAACTTTTATGTGAAAATAAGTGACCCAGGAAGGAAAAAGGATTGAAACCAGTACGAGGTTGGAGTAAATGATCTGCAGGCCAGGAAATGATGTGTTGGAGGAGTTGGCGTCCAACACCTCCATAGCCCATCAGAATTAGGGGGATAATCTTCCTTGTCTTGGTTGTGGTTGATCTTCTGGGTTCTGGGTTTTCTTCTATGAAACAAAAAGCTTCGGGAAACTTATAATGAATCGATGGAAACAGATACCGGGGACTGAAACAGAACTGAGGGTGTAAGTTAAATTGGGTTTAATCTCTGGTTCTCTATATTATAGTTATAATCGAATATTAAATACTACTATCACTACCAATTTTCTGCTTAATTAGGTACCAATAGGAAACTGAAAAATAATAGTTTGTTTTATCCTATTATGCACATATTCGGAATAATCAACAACATTTTTTTATCTAATAAGTGATGAATGAAATGACCTTGAAAAATAATTATCTCATCATCAAACACTAGTAATTAGTAAACCAATGAAATAGATACATATGGCAGGATAAAATGGAGACTAATCCCTCCCATCTTAGAATAGAATTCGTCTGCCACCATTAATCTATTGGCATGTGGATAGTCTATTATTTCCCTTAAATATTTTAATTGTTAATAAATTCACCCGTGTTAATCGGCTATTAAAAGCATCTATCCTCTTGTTCAAGCGGAACTTGTTTAGAGCGCCTTGTGAATTTCCGATCGGACTGAAAAGATGGCATCGTTTTTCTCTCCATGGAAGTTTTGATGACAGAAATATACTCGATATCACCACTATCTGCTCCATATGCCGTACCATCAGATGACAGCAATCTGCTCGTCAATTTATGCAATAATCGGTTATGTGGTACTTCCGGTCAGCAGGAGGGAAAAGAACCACTCAAGTCAGGAAAATACAAGCCTCGCAATTCGAATATATTTACACGAATATATTGTGATTGCTTGCCACTATGATCAAAAGTCAAAGCAACGAACATAGTTATTCACTTGCAGGATATGAAAGTCATCAACTGGAAGAGAAAACACAAATCTTATCTGCATTTCAACTTGTAAGAAAGCAAATTTGACAATTCATTCTTCATGATCGGAGCGACGACCATTGTTTGAAACTATTGAAGAATAATTACAATGCTATCTCCGGTAACGGAAAGGTTATAGCAGTTGATGCCGTCCTTCCTGTTCTACCCAAGACTAGTGCTCATTTGAGATGCATTTCCAGACAATGTAATCACTATGACACAAAATCCAGGATGAAAAGAACCGACCAAACAAGAATCACAAGCATTGGCAACTAAAATTGGATTTAGTGGCATAAGATGTCTGTAAATGCGAGGCTTGGGAATTGCCTGACTTGTCTTCTTTTGCCAACTCAACCGGAAGTACCTGAACGAAAACGGGCACGACCGGTAATTGTAGAAATTCACGAGCAGGTTACTGTCTTTCGAACTTAATGGTACTGCATATGGCGCAGGTAATGGCAATGTCGACCAGGTTACTGCCATCTGAATTTCTATGGAGGGGAAAACGACGTCGTCTTTCCAGTCCGGTCAAAAATTCACGAGGCCGCCCTAAACAAGTTCCGCCTGAAGCGGGAAAATAGATGCTTTTAATTGGCAATAAACATGAGTGAATTTATTAACAGTTAAAATAAATTTAAAGAAAATAATAGACTATAAACGTGTCAATATATTAGTGGAAAAAATAAACATCTAATATCGAATAAGTTTTTGATGACAATACAATATCAAAGATCCCCTAAAGATAATTATTTATTAATATAATATATAAAATAAATAATACTATATCAACATAAAGAATACTATTATGTGGATTATTACATTAATGTGATTTAAAATTTAATATTTAAATTAATATTTCTATTAGAAACGACTCACTATGTTTTCTAAAATGAAGTCTTTAATTTAATTTAAAAATAAGTTTAAATTTAAATTTATTATTACATCAATTAAAAAACTAGGGTAAATTAAACTATTGACCACTCAACTATTTGGTCCTTTTATTTTTATCATCGATCTTTTAATTTTATCAATCAAATCACTTAACTATTTAATTGTATTCAATCGAACCACTAGTCATTAACATTTAACAGACATAGTGACGTGACAGTTAAAACATTTGGTATAGTTATACATCTATTCACTAATATTTAAATATTATACTATTTTGATCATACTTTAATAAATTTAATCATTGGATCATATGGAGTCATGTGTCATCATCCAATTAGAGAATTAATTATATTTTAATTTATTTTCAATTCAATATACTTTTCACCAATAGCAAGATGACACATGTCATCCCAGGTTGAAAAGAAAATAATGCGCACAAACTAGGATGGAAGGGGTTTAAACTTGGAAACTTTGATATTATAATATATTTTATCAACTTATTAAATATATTATAATTTTATTTTAACTTAAAAATATATTTTAATCTTATTTTAACTTAAAAAATATACTTTATTCCTATCTTAATTTTTAAAAATATATTTTTAATTAAATTCACATATTAAAATTAAAAATATATTTTATCTTAACTTATTAAATATATTTTATTCTTATTTTAAATTCAAAATTTTATTTTAATCTTATTTTAGCTTAAAATATTTTATTTTTATTTTAACTTATGAAATATATTTTACTTTTATAGTAATTTAAGATAGATTTTTAAAAGTTAATAGAAGAATAAGATATATCTTTTAAGTTAAAATAAGATTAAAATATATTTTTTAAATTAAAATAAAAATAAAATATATTTAATGAGTTAAGATAAAAATAGTATATATTTTTTAATATTAAGATAGGAATATAATTTAATATGTGAATTTAAATTAAAATATATAAAATTATTAAGAATTTACACAGTATTACAGAATACATATCATTATTGTATATTTTAGTCCTAAAAAGCAACTTGGCTAAGCGATTGAGCACTCCCTTTATCATCTATGGTGTCTAGGTTTGGGATAAGTTTTTCTTACCACTAACTGGGTGGGGATTGACCGGAAATGGTAGGTACCGGGTCGAAAATAACGGGCTCATGTTTGTTTCCTTCACAATTTCTATAATCTATTTGAGGGTCGTATCTCGGTATGGAATTCGATTCTGAAGGTGCTGCTAAAACTTACTATGATGAATATTGTAGGCATTTGGGATTTAGCTCCAAAGTTGGCCAGCGTAGTCGTTCCAAGACTGATGGGACGATAGTTGCCAGGGAGTTTGTCTGTGGCAGAGACGGTGTGAAAAGGTCTGCCAACAGTTGTGATGCGATGCTTAGAATAGAGTTAAAGGGAGATAAGTGGGTTGTTACAAAATTTGTGGAGCAAAAACATTCCGCAATGAGTCCCCCGTAGGCACTTAGCTGGTGCTGCAAAGACCACGGTTGATGGTTACGAAGGGGAGGGAATCGTACCAAGCGGTGTGATGTATGTTTCTATGGATGGAAATCATGTCTCCTCGGACACAAATAATCATGGTGTCTGGAGCACTCCTCCAGCTGAAGCAAATTGCTCGGTTAAGAATATCGGGACACTGAATTATGCTGTTAGGCCTGTTACCAGAAAGAGAACACTGGGGAGGGATGCTCAAAATCTGCTCGATTATTTCAAGAAGATGCAAGCTGAGAACCCTGGTTTCTTTTATGCAATTCAACTGGATGATGATAATCAAATGGCTAATGTTTTTTGGGCTGATGCAAGGTCAAGGACGGCCTACATGCATTTTGGAGATGCCGCTAAACTGGACATGAGTTACGGGGTAAATCAGTATTGGGTGCCATTTGCTCCATTTTCTGGGATCAATCATCACGGTCAGACAATTTTGTTTGGTTGTGTATTACTACTAGATGATTCTGAGGCTTCTTTGTTTGGCTTTTTAAAACCTTTCTTACAGCAATGAATGATCATCAACCTGTTTCTTTAATCACTGATCGTGACAGAGCTATACAGGTTGCAGTGTCACAGGTTCTTCTTGGTGTTCGACATTGTATTAATAAGTGGCATGTTTTAAGAGAAGCTAGCTCATGTTTGTCATGTGCGTCCTAATTTTCAGGTAGAACTATATAACTGCATAAATTTGACTGAAACTGTTGATGAGTTTGAATTATCTTGGAGCTCCCTTCTTGAGAAGTATAATCTTAATGCACACAATTGGCTTCAATCACTATATAGTGCTCGAGCTCAATGGGTTCCTGTCTATTTTCGGGATTCCTTTTTTTGCTGCAATATCACCCAATCAAGGATTTGATTGCTCCTTTTTTGATGGTTACGTGAATCAACAGACCACAATACCGTTGTTCTTTAGACAGTATGAACGAGCAATGGAGAAATGGTTTGCAAGGGAGATTGAAGCTTATTTTGACACTATTTGCACCACTCCTGTCCTGCGGACACCGTCACCTATGGAGAAACAGGCAGCAGAACAATATACACGAAACATAGTCACAAAATTTCAAGAAGAACTAGTTGAAACTTTTGTTTACACTGCTAATAGAATTGAAGGAAATGAAACCATCAGCACATTTAGAGTTGCAAAGTTTGAGGACGTCAACAAAGCATACATAGTTACATTAAATACCCTGAAAAGAGCTAATTGTAGTTGTCAAATGTTGAGTATTCGGGCATCCTTTGTAGACATGTTTTGACAGTCTTCACTGTGACAAATGTACTACACTACATCATTACATCTTGAAACGATGGACCCAAAATGCAAAGTCAGTGTTTGGGACAGATGAACCTGGTGAAGCATTGCATGGACAAGTGTCCTTGACAGGACGGTATAATAGTTTATGTTGGGAAGCAATCAAATATGCTGAAGATGGGGCAATAGCTACCAAGACTTATAATGTTGTGATGGGTGCTTTTAAGGAAGATGAGAAGAAGGTTACTTTCATAAAGAAAAATGTTGCAAAAGTTGCTCCTTCTGGTTCACGGGCTATTAGTGCTGCTTACCATAACAATAGGAGCACAACTCCAGATACAGCTCCTTTCCTATGGCCACAGCAGGATGAAATTACACGGCGATTCAATCTTAATGACACTGGTGCTCCAGCTCAATCTGTCTCAGATATGAATATTCCACATATGGCTCCTGTTTCTCTCCATCAGGATTATAATCATCCTGATAACTTGGTCAACAAGTAACTTTTTTTTCTTTTTAATGTGTTCCATTAAATTTATGGGTTGATTAGTTTATTGGTTTCTTTGATGCAGCCGGTTCTTCCTTGTTTGAAATCGATGACTTGGGTGATGGAGAATAAAAATTCAACCCCTGGAAATAGAGTTGCAGTCATTAATTTAAAGGTATGTGTATGGTAAAATGTTAGTAGCTAATTATCCAAAAAAAAAATGTTAGTAGCTGGTGTCAGAACTTGGTAGCATTAACCTTGAAAAATTAAAACCTTCAAATTAATTGCTGAAGTACAATGAACCCTTTAAAACTGTTTGGCTTATGCCCACAATTGTGGAGTCGATTGATAATTTTATTCAATTCACTTTTTGTCACATTTTTAACTTATTTCAAACCCTTTGCTTATGCATATCTGATATATAATTGATACAGTTGCAAGATTATGGCAAGAATCCATCGGCTGAAATGGAAGTTAAGTTTCAGCTCTCAAGGGTTACTTTAGAACCTATGCTGAGGTCTATGGCTTATATTAGTGAACAGCTCTCCACCCCAGCCAACAGGGTCGCCGTCATCAATTTGAAGGTACGTTAAGTCATAATCAAACCACACTCTTCCAAATGGTTACGATATTTGTGAAAATAAACCTCTGCAATGATATTTTATATGGGGCTGACCCATCGTGATTATATAGTACATTTTCACATGTTTTATTGTGTACTAATCTGTTTGTAAGATTGGTTTTAATGGAATCATGTTGAATCTAAATTTGTGATGCAGAAACGTAAACATGATTCGTCTCTTGCTTTAACATCATATTCCATTAGACTTGAGCAAGGTTTCTTTTTTACCCTCTAAGCACCTCACGCCTTTTGCTTATTTTTCGTTTCCTTTATCATCACTGTTCCAGCTTCAAGACACCGAGACCACTACCGGGGAGTCGGAGGTTAAATTCCAGGTGTCCAGGGATACATTAGGTGCAATGTTGAGATCAATGACCTACATCAAGAGCAGCTTTTGAATGTCGTGAGCACCCTCTTCCATTACTAATTGCAGTTATAATTGATATGGATGGTACCATTTCGTCGTAATTCACGTCCACTTCTTGATGCATTGTTTTACTGTGTTGCAGACCGAAGCACAAGCGGAGCCATTATCAAAGAAACAGAGTAGATAAAGTGGGAAGCCTATCTGTGTGGATGGCAAGATGGAATGCTCCTGATGTTGTGGCCTGTATATCAATGGGGATTGTTTTCCCCTCAACTGTGTAATATTTCCTCTTGTTTGTGCAAGTGCATTGTGCAACATGTTTTTACAAATTCATGTACATGTGTAAAGAATGTGAATTCGAACATAATGTTTCATTATTCTTTACGCATGAACAACCAATAAAAATTATGATCAGTTAGCAAAAAAACATAAATACTTTGTATAAAAATAATTAAATTTCATATTGTGTATTATATATAATTATAAATGGTAGATCTAAATTTGGTCCAAACATTGTTTGTTTTCTTTTGAAGGTTGCTCCAAACACTGTTAATTCCTTGGGTGTCGGCCTGATCTATTGTTGCTAATGGGGCGTAAAATCAAAGCCCAATAAGAAAGTTACTAAGAACCCTAAATTCAGAATTACTAATATATCCGCTAGATGTTTAGGGTCTCTTTGCTTTTGGTGAACCGTTTGTAGATCTCTCCGACGACGCCGACGCCGACAATGGTTGCCTCCAAGAAGACCGTAAAATTCCGTCTCTCGTTTTATATATGTTCACTGTTTACACTTTTTCTTTATTTTTTGTTCTGAAAATTTGGCAACTAACGGTCCTGTCTTCGAATGGGCATTTCATGAAAGGCAGAAGAAGACTCATGAGAGCATTAACAACAGATTGGCTCTCGTTATGAAGAGTGGGAAATACACTCTGGGTTACAAAACTGTTCTTAAATCTCTCAGAAACTCCAAAGGTATTGTTTCCCCCCCCCCCTTTCTTTTAAAAGGTCTTCTTATTTGCCTCAACATTGCTGAACTACCTGATTTTTAATTTTGAATATTCCTTACACTTTTAGTTCTTTGGTCAGATGAAAAATTATGGTTTACTTCATTGTTTTGGATGGTCAACTGAAGTTGAATGAATATCCATTTGGTTTATGGTTAAAATAGTGCTTAACTTGGACAAGGGGATTAGGGTTTTTTTGGTTGATTTGTGTGTTATCAATTTTTTCTGAATGACTGATGCCTAATCTATAATGTTAATTGAGCTTCTGAAATTGGAAGATGGTAACATTTTATTTGATTATTTTTTGTAGGTAAGCTGATTATCATTGCCAACAACTGCCCTCCTCTTAGGAAGTCAGAGATTGAATATTATGCCATGTTGTGCAAGGTTGGAGTTCACCACTACAATGGAAGTATGTTCCTTAACGTATTTCATTACTTTGTGTATTGAATTTTTTTTTCTTGTCACATTGAATTGAATCCACTTTCAGCTAATTGATCCTGTTCCTACCTCATTCAATTCTTTAGTTAAATAGTAAAGCTTGTTGCTGAAGATATTTGCGAGAAGCCTTACATAATTACATTTTCTATTGCGAAACTAATATGTTTGTCAAAACCCTTTGATGAACTAAACGTTGCAGTCTATGGTGTATGCCATCTTTGCAATATTGTGCCTTGATGGAAACCGTCTGCCCTCTCACACTAATTTATCAAGTGTAATTTGTGATATACTGGTTCACTTGAGTAGTGGATTACTTTGTTGTTTCAGGTTTTCTTGTAATTCATCATTTGTTTTAGGGGATCATGCCCTAAAAATGTTGTTCTTGTTCTTCCAGACAATGTAGACTTGGGGACTGCCTGCGGCAAATACTTCAGAGTGTGCTGCCTCAGCATTATTGACCCGGGTATATATAAAGGAGTTGGTATTATGTCGAGTTTACATACGCTCTACATATGTAATTCTGATTGTGGTTGTTTCAGGTGACTCTGATATTATCAAGAGCATGCCAGGAGATCACTAAACTACCAAGGATGATACATCACACTATAGGTTTTGTTCTGATTTAGTTTACATCTTTTGTGTGTTTGGAAACATTGATGTCAAAGAGAAGTTATTCTCAAATTCAGAACTTCCGTTTTGCTCCATTTGGATGTTTGATTGCGAGTGAATTCGCTTAAGATGAGTGAATTTTACAATTCAGAGCTGACAAAGTTTAATATGTATATAAACTTAAGTACACATGTCATTTTAAACACAAATGGTCATAAAGCTTTACATTCATTCACATAAATATCAAAACTATTATATTTTTTGGATTGCCCTTTCGGTTCATGAGGCTTTACCTTGAGTAATCCTGACCAATTCGGGTCACACACCTGGTTTTGGTGGGTGAGTCTTTCAGTAGGGACTTTCTGCATTCACATACTCAAAACTTGCTTAAGGGAATCAAATTGCTTACCACTTTAATCAACCCGTTGGCATATCAAAACTATTATTAAGATATAATTAGTACTGTAAATTAGCTACCTTCAGAATATCTCATTGGAAAACTAATATTATATTTTCATGTTTTACTCCATAAAACTAAAAATTTAGATATTGAACCCACAATTCAAAAACGAAGTTATAAATTTCATATCACAATCTATGCTTAAAATAAATAGTGATAGATTCGTTTCATAAATTAGTTAAATATATTGAATTCATTCATACATATTAATAAGCTGGTTTAATAAAATATTTTCTTAATTGATAACGAGAATATATCGGTCTATTCATTCTATAACACTCTATTAATTATGGATAAATATAATATTTAATTGGAAAGGAATGAATTTATAAAATCTTATGGTAAAATAAATTTATAAATTTTTAGAGACGAAAATAAATTATCAAAACAAAATAAAAAGAAAAAATCTAAAATATATAAAAATTTAATTTCTTTTAAAGATGATCATCTCCACTTGCTCTCTCTAGATCTATTCCTGCCACCGAGTAGGGATGCATTGTCCCTTTGAAAATTTCAAAGTCTTATATATTTTAAATATTTTATTTGTATTTTTTTTATCGAAAATCTATTTTCGTTTTTTAAAATTTTATAAACTTGACCCCTAACATAACGTCACGCATCCATCCCTATCACCGAGTACATTTGTTTGTAAAAAAAAAACTAGTTAATAAATGCAATAGAAATTAGATAATTAATGACAGGGTTTACATTTGGAGATTCCTTGACTGCTGCCCTTAATGCCTTTTATTGTTCATGAAGACACTTTCAAAGGCAAGGAACCATAGCTCACCACCATCCCCACGACGCAGCTACCTCCCCAATTCTTGTCAAAAACCTTATCAATATACTAATATTTTTATAAATTTTAACGGTGGATAATTTAATGCGTCATTAATAATTCATATGATCACATTTCATAATAAAATTTTAAAATCAAATTCATTATTTATAATTTACAACTAACTAATTCATTGAAGATCCATAAAATCAAATTATATGTTAATGGCAGTCCAACTGATTCAGAGTTGCATACAAAAGGTGAAAAACAAAAAAACCCCGACAGACAATACACCTAAACGACAACTTATTTATGAGACAGGGATATTCTATGTAAAAAGTAGCAGGATCATGGGGCTCTTTCCATGTTTTTATTGAGGCCCATATGAAGTGCTACTTTACTTGCTAAACTTCTACAGCACACACAAGGAGGATAAAAACAATACACAAGTAAAAGAAAGTTTCAGCTACTGCATGCTTCGGTAGGCCATACCATTTTCGTCTTTGCTGTTTTACTGGAACCAGATTGAAACATCCTGCCTGTCCATCCCGACTGCTTGAACATCTTCCTTGTAATCGAAAGAAGACAGATTGAACGGAGACCCAAACATCAACGGGAAGTTGCTGTTATTATGGTTGGCCTCGAACGGAGAATTTGAGCCCTTAAACCGGTCAAATTGACCTTCCCCTTGTGGAACCATTTGATGATTGTTGGGAATGCCAGATTCCTCGAAGAAGTTTCCTTCCATCATAACTCCTTGACTGTGAAAGTATTCACCCTGTTGCTGTTGGATCTTCTTCTGGAGAATATTTTGACCTTCCGTAACAGGATTGTTACTCAGGTTCATGTTCTTGCTGCCTTGAATGTTGTCATCGTATATTGACATGAGTTCACTGATCATTTTCTGCCCATCTTCTGGAACTCCAAATTCTGAAAGATCAAATGTTGGGATGGAAGTAGCTGCCTCAGAAGCGGTTGGTTTGGATTGCGCAAACGGGTGATGGAAAATCACTGGTTTCACTTCATTAACATTGAAATTTGAACCACCAAACAGTCCAGGGGCGTTTCGATACGGACAGGTTAATTGATGATTGTCCCTGGCAGTCCGGTCATGAAAACCCAATCGAATTTCACTATAGGGACATTGGAGGAACTGGCAAGTGTAGATCTTGTGTTCCATCATGTTTAAATCATTGCATGGTTTCCTCTTTCGATCCACCTCAAAATCAGACGAATTAAGATTCCCGGGTTTAACATCTTGCACATCAAAGTTTGGCTCGTCTTCAGCCCCTTCAATATCATACTCATTGCAGTCGTTTATAACCAAAGACCCACTTCTTTCACCCGAGGACAAAGGTGGACAGGACTCGGGGTAGAGCTCTCGAGCCAAGGCCTCCTCCTGGTTAATGATAGCAAGCCAAGTTGCACTTTCCTTTGCAGTCATTTTGTCCTGCAAACACTTGGACTGTCTCACAAGCTTGCGAATCTTGGCTATATCGGGAGACATATGTTTGATTACTGCAGTGAGAACCCCAACTTTCAAAGCCTTCTTCAAGTCATGAGGTTTCTTATAAGGAGGAGGGCCTTGGTCTTTAGGCAATCTGAGATGCGGCCACCATTCCTCATTGCCAGTAGGCCACCACGGCGGGTGAATACCTTTCTCTAAAGGAAATCGCCTCTGAGGAGGATCGCAATGCTGCATCAGCGCAGACAAAAGAGAACCGAGCGTTGTATCTTGAAGTTCTTGCAAGGTGTGCGGTGTCGGACCAGTCGAGTTACACCCATCATTGTTGCCAGGAATTGAATTATCAGCCTGGTACTTGGCGACAGCAGCGGGACCATTACGATCAAACCTAACTTTATCCTTCCACCATTCCCGAAGATTATCAGATGCCCCAGTCACAGGCTTTCCTTTCTCCGGAATTATCCCATAAACAAAACCTTGAGCCTTGCACACTTCCATCATCTTCAACATGTACTTCAATATCCCATCATGCGCTCTCGACATCTTCTTTTTCCTCGCCTGTTCTTGAGACTGTCTCTGTTTCGCAACATCGACCACCCCCTCCTTGCTCTTGTTCTGTTCTCTAAGTTGTTTGAGACGCAATTTGTCCCTCCACATCCTCCTCTCAAGTTCATCCACATCAATATCCTCATCACTATAATCATCTTCCATCGAGGCCTCCGGTTCGGAATGTGAAGTCACCATGGCTCCGGCCGCCACCGCCACATCTTTTTCTCCAAAGGGAGCACTGAAGAAATCCATATCCCCACAAATTCCCATATCATCAAACGTCATCATTGTTCCAAGATATAACTTCAAATCACCCCCAAAGATGCCTTTGTTAACCTGTAATTTATTAACAATAAATAGTAGTAATAAATTGGTTCATAAAACCCAGCTGATACAAGTCAGATCTCCAGGCAATTATTATTAATATTTGAAATTTAAAAAAATCCAATATAATCAAGACCTCAATTTTATCAATCAATAATCCAAATCCGAACAAATTATGAAAAGTCCAAATCGAACAATATGCAAGCAATTACAACCTCAACAGTATCAACCAATAATCAAAAGAAAATCAACAACAAAAAAACAAAACCCAACACGGAAAATTAACAGAAGGGCCAAAACAGAAATCAGAACCCGAAAATTTACGGATCAATAATCAAAACCCATGTCAGAAAAAAAAACCCCAGAGAAAGTAGCGAAGAAAGCTATACACATATAGATCCACTCAACCATGTCTTAAAAAAGCATACCTGGAAAAACCCAGAATTTATCTTATTCCACAAAGCTGAAAGCAGTGAAGTTTGCAACACCAGAAGATTTTCAGAGGAGAAAATGAAAAATAATGGGGGTGGGGGGGAGAGAGGGAAAAGAATATTATCCCTTTAGATAAACAAGTTGAACCTTTTGTACTAAATAGTATTGAATTGATAGGGGAGGAGAGAGGATGGTGGCTAATTGTCTTTCCTGTTGATGATGGTGAAAGGATACGTAGGTTAGAAAGAGACGTAGAAGATGTGAGAAATTATTGGAATTCTAGTATCAAATTAAAATGTGACGCAGTTTAGAGCACAGAGACTTTGTATTAAATATCAAGGAAAAGAGGGTATTAACTTTTATGTTGATTTCAAAGGAAAAGAGGAGTGAAAATTTAGGAAATTACACAAACGTCAGGTTTATTCAGTCCTCCAGACAAAAATAATAACGTTTCTCTTAATATATATAGAAAGAAAAAAAAATGAACATCCAGCTCAGTTGGTAGAGTACAATATTTTTAATTTTGAGGTCGTGGGATCGAGTTCCACGGAGGGCATTTCATAATTTGGAGGTCTCTTACGGATGCTGCTCTCAACCTGGTGTTGGAGGTAGTTTACTATCTTACCTCCCCCTTACCTCATATATATATATATATGAGAAAAGGGACAGCCATTTAATATATATAGAAAGGTTAAATTTCATTTTTGGTCCTTTACTTTTAAAATGACATTATCTTTTTATTAATCTGACGTAAATAAGTGGTCAAGCAAGCCACTCTTCCTGGCTGATTTTTTGCAATAATGCCGTCGAAAAAATAATTTGTATAATATACAAGTAGTTTATATAGAGAGAGATAGGAATAGTGTATGTTTATAGCCGGTATAAAATTAAGAGTTTTACATCTTTTTAGGATCATTGTATGAGAGAAATTAAATAATGAGATTAATAGTAGGATATGAGAAGGTATTCACTAAAAAAATGAGTTTATTTCAGCCTTTGATTTTCATAGGAATACCTAAGACTCAATTGAGATTTACATAAAATTTTACAGATTGCACACCAAGAATGACGGTGATAAGATTCGAATTTGACCTTACAAACTCATATTCTTGAATTCCAGCCACTTGTACCAACACTCCTTGACGTAAAACTCTTAATTTTATATCGAGTGTAAGTGGATCATAACCATATATATGATGATTAACACGTTAAAAAAATTGAAAAAAATAATAGACTAAATTCAACTCAATAACAACGCATGTTTTTTTTTATTATAAAGAAAATTTTAAAATAATTCACATTAATATTTTTAATTTTTAACCATTTGAACTAACTATTGATAGTATAAATATAGACTATCAAATTAAAATATAAAGATGAAATTTCAAATTTGAGGACAATATATGGACTGAAATTATAATTTGACCGAAATGTATTTTATAGGGCAGCACCTGAACTGCCTCCAATTATTTTAGGCTTCGGTGAGAGCATTGTTTCACTTTATCCGATGATATCTTTTGTAAAGAGGGAGGAGGATATTTTTTAAATGATTAATAAATACTATATTTATTTAAGGAACATGTTAAAGTATAAAAAATAAAAATATTATTATATATATTTTGAATTTCTATAATTAAATTGATATTTGAATAATTAGATAAAAAATATTTTTTTGACTTATAAAATAATTAAATTAATTTAATTATATTCACTTTTTATTTTGATATCTAAATTCAAGTTCAACCAATATTTGTTTAAAGATTTATAAATTTGGATCTTTTGATGATAAATTAAAAGCTAGTCCAGATCAAATTAATGAAAATAATGAATTTGAGTTTTTCATTAAGTTATGTAACTTTTCTTAAGACAAACCAGAGCAAAAAATGTGCAACAAATATTTATAACTTGGCATCCATGGATACTAAACTACTCGATGTCTAGCTTCCAAGTTAAAACTCAATAGAAGCATTAATGGCACAAACAACAAAGCCTCGTTTCACTGAATCCATACAACAAACAAGTTAAACTTCTGGTTACTCTCATCTTCATCCTCTTGAATCTTGAGAACCTAATACAGTCCATCCCTCGATGCGAATGTCGAGGAAATTGGCTCTTTCATCTCTATGATTGTTGCTTCTTGTGTGTGAGAACAATATTTGCAGTTCGAATGTCCCCTCTTGTGGTAAAACTTCACATATAGCAATAGTATGACCAATGGTAGCAAGATGTTTACAAATTCAGCCCACGGCATCCTAACAATGGAATTCCCAAGGTGCTCGCTATCAATATCCATCAGCTTCATCTCAAAATCCGATATCTTGTCTTGTCTTGTGAAAGTAATGCTATTGCTGCCATCGTCCACCTTGATATCATCATTCCCCACGCATTCCTGTCGCAGCGGTACTGCTCAAAACCTTCCCATCTCAGGCTCCGCTACAAAGCCACCCCGTCGCCCTACAGTCCAAGTGACCAGCCAACTTCTTAATTGCTTCCAATACTTTATTCAATAGCCAACCTTGAATTAGCCTAAGCTCAAGCATTTCTGACCCTTTCCCCCCCCCCCCTTCTTCGACTGCTTTTCTTTGGGACAATGAATATATGTAATACATGCAAATTATGAAATGATACATAAAACAATACACGTGTTGTAATCATTTTAAAATGTCATGCAGCAGAGTTTTATGCTAAACTCAAACCCTAAATGTAACTTATTTCTTCTTGATTGATAGACGATACCAATTTGCCTTATATGCAACTTATTTCTTTCTTATTTTATTCTTTGATTGATAGCTGATACCAATTTTAATGGTGATCCTTCTCATTGATATTTCTCGTTCCTTTACATTTCTATGTCACATATTTGAACTCTCGGATTTGATCTTCTCCGTTTTGGATTATCATATTAAATTTAGATATATGATTTACGCTCATAAATAGTTTTTTTACGTTATTCAACTCTGATTTGCGAGTTGATTTACGATTTTTCAATAGGTTTTTATAGCTTGACCCTCTTTTATGGGTCATTTGTTAATACGTTCAGGTATGTTTGTATCTATCTTTTATTCAAAAAATAATTTTTAGGTTTTTAAACTCTCCTTGTACATTCATTATACGATCTTAAATGACTAATTTATTGTGTAACGATTATAGAAAAAGATCCTAATAATATGTCTAGTTTATAGTTATTGTTGTCGACCTTTATTATAATTTTGAATATTTTCTATTTTTAATAAAACTATTTTATGGTAAAATCTAGAAGAAAAAAATATAAATAATTGGCATTGTTTTTACCAACTTTCTAGCTAAGGCATTTTATAGCCAAGCAGAAATTTAACTTCATTGTTACTGTTTATAGATTAAAAAAACAGAGCATCAACATAAGACCAGAAATTAGACAGCAAAGAAACAAAGCAGCAAACCAGATCGACAACATAAGTCGAGGCTCCTGAAATGGTTTGCAGCAATAACTGGAGTTGACCCGACCAGAGCATAAAACCAGAAATAACCCGACCAAAGAAACCGAAACGACATTAACAGGATACGACTCGGCCTAAAAATCTAACCAAAAAGATCAAATGACTCAAAAACTTTACCAAATGCCCCAATCGAAACCAACTAGACTCGCCCAATTAACATATCTAGTTAACAAATATGGCAGATACATGCTTTAAATCTAGAGAGATTCTAAACCGACATCAAAAAGGGTGTCAAATAAGTGGGAAACTATTTCAAGGATGCACAACAGGAGTAAATAAGTCGATACTATTATTACATCAAATACTAGTTTGTCCTGAACATCTTAGGAAGAGCATGATAGTTTCAGTTACATATCCTAATAAATTCTGATTTACAGATATTAATATGAGGGACAGGGGCGGACCCAGAGGTAGCCTGGGTAGCCCGGGCATCCTCACAATTTGTGAGGAATATTGATGTTGTCAGCTTCTACAAGGCGTTTGAAACCGACCCCAAGGATTACTTCTTTGTTGAGTTCCAAGGGTACGAAATGAGTCACTCTCTCTTGGACCATCCTCTCCAATCGAGTTGAGCATATTTCAGTTAAGTTCTTACAGGAAAAAAAATTTATGCAACAAAATTGTCTATTTAGTGTTAATTTTTTCTATTTTTTTAATTAATACAAGTGTCACCCTTGATATTGTGCAACCCCTAAAAAATTTATAAGAATTTTTTTTGTGTAACCCCTGAATTTTTGCCTTGGGAGGGATTGCATTTCACAAACCTCATTATGCAGTGTGATAATCCACTTAAAATCTAGTGAGTACACAACTAATTCCAAGTCTTGTAGCATCACTTTGTTCTTCAAGAGCAGTTTGTGTCATAACTAATTCCACTTAAGATCAGTGACTTTGCATGCAGGGAAAACAAAAGAAATGAAACTTAAAATGAAGAACAAAAATAAGTCAACCCAAAAAACCCAAGAACTGAGAGGCTTTAATGTGGGTATGCTCTAAAAGGACTTCGTGTAAAAGATGGAACGAGGGATTGGTGCACGACCAAGAATAATGTCAAAAACAAGGTATAGTTTACCTAAAGGAAATGGCCACAGAATCTATCAAGACTAAAGCAAGGTGCCATGAAGATATATAGTTGCAGCAAAACATGCAGATACCTCTAATCTCCATGAAAATAATCATGATCAGCAACTTGATCAAAATTTATAAAGTAAATAAAAGAAGAGGGGTGAACTTACTTGTTCAGAGGAATGTGTTCAAATGGTCCACTGGTAGGAATTGTTCCACACAAATCATTGTTCGAGACATCACTAGAAGAAAAAAGGTAAATGTTTTGATAACCATAAGTTCAATGCTTTGCAAAACAGTACCAGAGATTTTTATTTTATAAATAAACTGTTCGAAAAATTGCAAGACTTACACAACTTTGAGGCTTGAAACCCCAACAAGTTCCCTAGGGATAGGTCCTGTTAACTGTTGTCATTAAGTCGCCCGTAAAATGGAGCAATAATGAGAGAGAGATCAGCGATTGGATTTTTATTTGTATGAAGGACGCCAAGGCCTAGGGGAAATTGGGGAAGCAGAATTTAAGTGTCAAGGATCGAACTAGCCTTGCAGGAATCCAACTCATAAGAGAGAATGACAAACAATTTGGGCTGAGCCTTCATAGTTTCCCAAAACAGAAGGAAGCAGTGTTATGGCTACAGAAAAAGCCCATGCCCAGATCGGTGCCGCCATGGGTGATGTTAGTTGCAGCTGCTCTGTTAGGATTAGGCTTTTTATGCTATGAGATCAGTAGAAGAAAAATAAAAAAGCCAACTTGTTTTTTGCTTCTAAGGTCCTATTACTTTGATCAAATTTCTAAAGTAGAATCGGCTTTGGAAACAGCAGCGACAAACATGATCCTCTTTTGCTTTTGCTGGTTTTTATGTTGGAGAAAAGAAAATGAAAAAAAAAAGGTTCGAGTCTTTGGTCTCTGGGTGACTGGATTAATTTAATTTAATTATTCTTGAACACTAATATTTTTTGTTAACAATTTATGAAAACTTTTTAGACGTTTTATTTTTTATAATTTAGCCCATAATTTTCTAAACAATTTATTTATTTAGTTATCCAATCATTCTTATAATTTTATCTTGGCTTAATTCTCAAATAAGTGCCCAAACTATACCTTTTGTGTCAAATAAGTGTCTAAGGTTTTTATTTTGCCCATCCGGGTGCCTAACGTTACAAACGTTAGTTTTTTAGGTGTCCAGGTCGTCAATGCCGTTAGTTTTTCCTGACACGTGCAACACTTGGTAATTTTAAAAAATAAAATTATATATTTTTAACAAAAATATAAATTTTGAAATAACCCCTAAACTTTAAAAACTTTTATTTCAACCCCTAAACCCACGTCAATTGCTGCCCTTTACCGTTGAAGATGCTACACCTGGCCTTCCCTCCCCCGGTGACTATATCCCCTATGAAATCGTATCTGGTTGACGATCAATCAACCACAAATCGACGTTTTAAATCTCATGAACCCTAGGATGAAAATTGTGATCCCACGCGATTTCGACGGTGAATCGGCGACAACTAAGATGACATATAACTAGATGATGTCAAGGACTACGTCAGAGATGGCGGTGGTGGTCGGAGAAGGCACCGGCGGTGGATTAAGATTAGAATTTAGTATTTTGGGGTTGTTTTATAATATAAAATAGTTAGGCTTTTTTATAAACAAAACAATATTTTTAATATTTTCTTATAAAAAATTTCAAAATTACTAAGTGTTGACATATGGCACTTAACGGGGAAAACTAACGGCGTTAACAACCTGGGCACCTTAAAGGGTAACGTTTGTAGTGTTAGGCACCCGGATGGTTAAAAAAACTATAGGCACTTATTTGGCAAAAAAGCATAATTTGGGCATTAAGCCTTTTATTTTGGTCGTTGATTTTTTTTAAATCATAACTAAATTTATGTTTTATTCCGTTTCGACTATCAGTTGTTAAAAAATTAATCTTGATATTTGCATATTACCATAAGATAAAGTCGCATCATTATTGAAAAAATTTGACGCTAACAATTACGTCTATTTTTTAACGGCGGGTGATCCTAACATAATAAAAACTTAAATTGAATGATAATTTTGAAAAAGGAAAATAATCAGTGACCAAAACTAAACCAAGAAGATAACTGGATGACTACATATGTAGTTTATTTCTTTTAATTCAACCTAAACACTATTAGTGGTTTATGTGTAGTTCTTTAGGAATCTGATGAGCTCCCACCACAATATAAAAGCTTTGAATATGTTCCACTCTTTTCCTATATGATTGTCCCACAAGGGAAAAAGAAAACGATATCAGTGGAAACCATCTAAATTTAACCCAAAGGCATTTGACAGTGAGGAAGGGAATCCATGGGGGTATGTTACGTGGATCGATTGTTGATTCAAGTGAGCCACAATCCACGAGAAGAGGGGGTATTTATTTTGTAGAAAGAAACCGATTTAAAATGCAGATGGCACAAAACAGGGTAAGCAAATAGATATTGAATCAGTGTAAGATTAGAAATTAGATGTCTTATTGTCCAATTTTCACAAAAAGTTTCTACAACCTAAAACTTGAAAGTTGTTCAGTTTCCCTTATGTACAACAATGTCGAGGAGGAAGTTAATGATCAAAGACAAACACAGGCATTCCATGGCATCTCCGCAAGCTTGCAGATCACTCCAGAAAATATATATATATGCCCTCGAGCCACAAAGCCTACATGAATATCGCAAAAACAAAAATGGATAGCCTTGGGAATCGGCAGCCACAACAACGGCGACCAAAAGTACGACCTCCTCCAATGTACAATAGACAAAACCCATCTTTCCTCGGCATTCGAAAACCAAATGGTAGTTTTATAGACCATGAAATCCTTCCTGCCTCTCTGATGCGGTCATCAGGGACGATCGTCAAAATTGGGGTGCAGTGACACTAGGGAGCAAGGACATCAATCGGTTAATGACGGTCTTCTCTCGTGCTAGTATGCTTCTCTTTGGCACGGAAGTCCTCCAACCGCTGATATTCTTCCCTCAGTAACCTATCCAGTTCGGGATGTTTCTTTATAGGTTCTTTCTGGTCTCTGAAGTGATGGAATGCCCTGCAATATATTGATAATTCTAAATTTAGAAAGATGGAATGGGAATACTAGTTCAAAAAGCAGCCATAGACTTGTAAGCAAAAATTACAAATATTCTTTCATCAAAAGAATCGAAGATTGTTTTATCTCCACCCATCAAAAGAAAACAATTTTAAAAAGGTAACAAAGCTTTCAGGGAAAAAGAAAATTACCAGTATTTTTCGAGGCCATAAAGATTTCCTTTATGATAGAAATCAAGGGTAAGTTGCTCAAAATCCTTATAAAGATCATCAGTATATTTCTTCTCCAAACCGTAACTGAAAAAAGAACAGTACGAAAAGAAAACAAACGAAAATGAACCAAAACTTCAGAAATGCAGCTTCAAACAGCCGAAAAAAGAGGACATATTTTTCATATTTTTAGCCATCAATGTTACCTATAAAATCTGAAAAGACACTCCACCCCATAATTGTAATTAGCGGTCGCATCTTCAAGAGCGAGTTTACGGAACTCATTATAAATGGAAGGGACGAATATGTCCCTAAGGAAATATGACCAAAATCTGTACAGTGAATTCATTTCCTGTGGGCAGAACCAATGGAAAAGTTATACTTATAATCTGGAGAAATAATAAAGAAACGTGTGCAAACAGATGTGAAGTATTACAAATACCATTCAGTTTATTAGACTATACATATATTCTAAGAGGAAAAAAGCAACACTAACCGTAAAAAAATTCAGGCAGAGTGATTCAATTTTCTTCTGTTACAAAATGTCATGATGAGGTAAAACATGGAAACAACCAAACTACACAGATCTTTGTAACCGAGATACTTAGACATGTTAACCAATTGAACAATAGAAGATGGCAACAGTTCTTCGTTTAAGGTAAAAATTATTTAATAGCTAAGGAGGTTCAGATATGAAGTTGACCTCACTGCAACCAATTCCCAACTTCTTCCTGTCACTCAGGCAGCGCTTGTGAAACTTTAGGTACCTGAGTGTAAAATGAACTGAATTAGCCAATTTCTTCACAAGTTCTCTTCCCCTCCATCACCTTCCGTGGAAGCACAAGTGCAAAAGAGGGGCTCAAGCACAAGCTACATTTTTTTCCGAGCAACAAAAATCTCAAAGTACGATGTTATACGTGGAACAGTCAAACCAGCGAAAGCATACACAAACACATACATATATATGGGGTGGGGTGGGAAATCAAACATTCCTTACTTTTGTTGTTTAAAACCATTTTCTTCTAATAGTTGATGACTTGGATGCTGAAAAGGTGGGAATGACTTTGGCAAGGAACCGACTGGTGGACTGCTTGAAAGAGTCCCATGAGGCGAACAGCTCAACTTTGAAGGATGCCTAGGACTGTAAAAATCGAAACTTAGACATCCATTAGCTCAGGAAAATTGTGGTAACTAGCCTATATTCTAGAACTTGAAAGCAATAAAAGTTATAAGTGAAACCAAGCAAAAAGAACTTAAGGTCGTGAATTGTGAAAATTTAAATTACAAAATGGTCATTTAGAACTAACCCATGACTATCTGGAGGAGTAGAACCAAAGAAATACCCAACTGAATTACTTGGTGGACTTTCTGATATTATTGCAATGGAACTGCGACTGGTTCCATGATTCTTTATATTGCTGGAGAAAAATCTCTGCTTATGGAATGATTGTTGCTTGGAGAAGCCTTTATTTTGCTTCCTTCGCAAACTCGACCCTCCAGACTCTTCAAGAGTACTGCTCCCAGAAGCATTTATTATTGTCTTAAGATTTGATACTCCCAATGCACCCCTTGGAGACCTTGGATTCTCGTCTTTATTCTCATAAGTAGAATTATTCTTTCTACGACTAGATCGCTTAGTTTTTAGCTCCTGCTTGCAATGAAACACCAAAGGAGAAATTTATTAATACGCACCATAACAAAATTTGAAATGAATTAGAAAAGCTAGTGCTTCAACCTGTTCATAGAAGTAAAGGCCATCATTTATCATAGCAGCAAGCTCACTGGATATGGACTTTGAGTCCTTTGCACCAGCTTTTGATCCTTCAGCTGTCCCAGTATTCTGCACATCAAAAGAAAGGATATGTTCCACCAAGACGGAACTGAAACCATTCTACCATTTAATACGAGTAAGACATTACCAAACAAAAACTCGTGCTTACAGGCATAACCTCAATCAGAGAGGCCATACCAATCTCAACTAGGAATTAAAATATGTGGAAGAAATTAGGAGGAAAGGGATGCAAGAGGGGAGTTAAGTGGAGTAGATCCCAATCCACTAAAAAAAATCTCTAAATTCTAAATCATTGCTGATGTGGAAAAAGGTTATCCCAATTTCACCTGAGAGAACAATGTCCTTGAATCAAGTTTTAAATGTTTCAACTTCACAAAACGGAAGCCATACATTATTCATGCATATGCTTCAAAAGTTCAATGCATATAAAAAACGATTTAGGAGGGTAATTTTTCTATATATTAATTTTTAATTGCATTTCCATTGATAGCAAAATTAAATCGGACATTCTTATCTTTTCTCATGACAAGAAAAAAACCAATATGATGCTGTTGAAAGATTGTAATAGTAAGACCAACTATTATAATTTTCCAAGTAAAAACATAAACTCAGGTGATCCAATAATCGTATCTTTAATTGTCCACCGCCACCTTCCGCTGTCCGCCGTTCGCCGTCGGCCGCCACATTCCGACCACCGTTCGCCGCCGTTTTCTTTAGAGAAGTTCGTCTGTTCTCAGGGATTTCAATTTCGAGCTTAGTTTTTAAAGAAAATCAAGAAATCGGCGCAGATATACCCTACAAAAGCCATTACCCGATCATAATCCCCTCGGAGCCGATCCACCTTGCTCCGGCCGACGGTGAACTTCACTGACAGTCCCAAAAGAAGCGCCAGGTCATTCCGACCAAAACCCAAGTGTTGATTTGCTGAACGGAGCTGCCGTTTGCCGTTAATAATTCGATTTCAACTTAAACCAGGAATGGTCGGTGTTCGAAGAAGCTGTTGCAGTAAACGAGCTGCAAGATGCTGAGTGATCCCACCAACCACTCGGCCCCTAGACTCCGTCCCTCCGGTTGTTGAAGAACCTGTAAAATAGGCTGCAGAAGTGCTATATCGAAATTTTCAGAGGAAGTTAGAAGCGCCCAGATTCTAAAAACCTGGTTCCTAAGATCCATCAAAGCTTCCAAATCAGAACTGGTCATTGCAAGCGCTCAATTGCCATTTCCATTGATCATCAGAGTTTGCACAAAACACGGGGCAGAGTAGTTTGTATCTGCCGTTGAGCCAAAAATAACAGCTTCAGTGACACGAAAAGCCTCTTTAATCGTTAAGAAGGTTTTCTAGTCTATTCCACCTGAACCCGCCATCCTTGAAAAGCAACTCTACAAGAGCATCTCTGAGATATGGATTTGGATCAGTGAGAAACCTTTTAGCAAAGTATGGATATGAGGCAGCCAACACGAATCAAATTCTCTAGATCCAGGAGGTTTAAACTTCGTTAGTCCGGCAGTACTAAAAGGTTAAATCTGAATCTGTTTTTTAGTCTTTGATTTTAAGTTGATTTGTGAAACATGAGCAATTGTTTCAACGGGTTTTGGGCTGGAACCAAAGATTATTATGGGAGGAACGGTAAGTAGTGTCTGGAGGAAGGATAACAGTTTGTGGGGAAAGGAAAAATACATACCAACAAAAAAGGGAATTAGGCCGGCATGTTATACGCTATTTGTTGAAAATATTCCTGAGAATCATAATTGGAAAAAGCTTAGATCTCTTTTTTGCATCCATGGAAAGGTGATTGATTTCATCCCTTCTAAAAAATCTATACGGGGTTTCGCTTTGGATTTATCAGATTTGCTACATTTGAAGAAGCCAAGAAATCAATTGTTAGGATGGATGGCTCTTTCATTTTTGGACGCAAGATTGGAGTTTTGATGGCAAAATATAAGCCCAAGCAATCATTATGGAGAAGAACTAATACATCCTTTCAACGGCAGGATAAGGAGGTAGCTGACAAGAAGAGTTACATATCCTCGATAGAAGGGGTGGTTGATGAAGATAAATTACGTGTTCTGGAAAATTGCCTTGTGTGTTGGTGTAGAAATTTTGTCTCCGTCTCAAACCTTGCAAGACAAATGCATGAAAAAGGCCTTAAGGGTTTTACATTGATGAGAGCTACTAGAAATGTTGTCCTAATGTGTTTTGAATCCTCCATGTTACCGAATACAATGAAGGTAGAAAATTCGGAGTCTCTGGCAGTGTTGTTCAACATGTTTGAATCATGGTCAAAAAACATGATAGTTGAGAGTCGGCGTATATGGTTGGTTTGCGAAGGTATTCATTTTCATGCTTGGAGCTGGGATACCTTTACAAACATTGCATCAAAGTGGGGGGAAATTATTGCAATCGATGAAAAGTCCCAATATCCATCGTCCTTTGATCGGGTAAAAATCCAAATCTTCTCAAATATCATCTCTAGAATTCATGAGGTAGTACGATTGAAGGTTGAAGATCAATCGTTTAACGTCCTGGTTCGCGAGATCGACCCGAGTTTCAAGCCTATTCCTTGGGTTCCCGAGGATGAGGAAGAAGACACGATTGTCCATGACAACGGAAAATCCAAAAATCCAATGTCGATCACGTCTACATTGGCCATCTCTAATACTCAATTGAAGCTTCATCCAATGGTCAATGTTCCCCTGAAGCTACACCGGGTTCCTCAACACTTGGATTGTTGGAAAACTTGTCGAATCATATTGGGAAATAAGTTGTACCTTGCGGTGGAAACAATGATGGTGAGATGTATTTAGCTTCAAGGCCATGTTCAGTTTTGGAGTCTTCATTACCTTGTGCCCTCAATCAATCAGATCAAAATGTTGAGGTGTCTCATGCCCTGGAAGACGGTATCAGTAGTGGGGCAATAGGTGATTCTAACCGGTTGCAGGGAAAGGATCTTCGAAAGGGATCAAAGTGTGGAAAGAAAAAAAAACATCGCGAATCTAAAAGTAGCAAGCAAAAGGATGAAGTGGCTTAACTGTCTCGGACGAATATTGGGTTTTAGTCTGATAGCGGTTTTGGAAGGAATTTTTATTGATTGAAGTGTGTTGCTTCTCCAAGATATAGATGGTTCGCGTTAGGAGTCGGTTGTGCTTTTATCTTTAAAGATTTATGTACTGTTTTCGAATATTATTGGTTTTTAGTGATGTGAGGCTTGGAATAGGTGTGAGTGGGTTCCGAATAGGGTTAACCTTGTAATATTTGGATGTTTAAGGGGGACTTGGAGATTTTATGGTTTAGATGTGGTGTATGTATCTTATTGGGGTGTTTTCAAACAAGGTGTAATGGTTATATTGTTTAATAAATCATGAGGTACTCTTTTCCTCCTTCCAATATTCGTTAACATACGTTTTAGTATGTTGATAATTATGAAGGGGGTATTTCTTTCTTTGCCTCTTTTCAAGGGAGATTTAAAGATAGGCTAATTGTTGAGAGTGATAGCAGAGTTGTAGTAGACTGGATCAACAATGTTGATTCATGTCCAGTTGTATATGGTTTTATTGTTAGAGATATAGTTGATAGTCTTAGAATTTTGGGGGGTTGTTAGATGGGTTGCAAGGACATCTAATATGGATGTTGATGCTTTAGCAAAGGCTGGTATAGGATGATTTTGATGTTGTTGGCATTTTCAGTTTGGCTTTCTGGTTCCTGTTCGGATGTGGTTTGTTCATTGTAGTAAGGGTTATTTGGAATAGATTTTCCAAGGTTGTAATTATTATTTTCTATAATGAAACTATAAGGCACTCTTTTCCTCCTTTCGCTGATTAAGGAGCTTCTATTCAACCTCCATTAATCAAGAAGGAGGTTTTTAATGAGGCCTTCAAATCTTATCAAAAAAAATAATTATGAAGGGGGTTTTAACGAGGCCTCCAATTCTTATAAAAAAACAATATGGCTAAAGAAGAATTCGTACGAAGCTGTACCACAATACCTGGGTAACAATCACTAGTCTTTGAACATCTTGATCATTGACCATCTCATCCTCTTCATCATTAGTTCTAAACAAAAACGCCATTAAGATATTCAAGGGACCACGATTAGCATCTAGAAGCATTGAAATATGCTTTTATACAGAACTAGAAATTTCCCTGGCTGAACAATAAAGGAGATATGCCAATTAAATAAAAAAAAAACAATACCTGTTAAATGCTGGAAGAGTTTTTGAAGTTTTTTGCTCAAGCTCTAGCTCTTCATCCAGCATAAATGTATGTGCGAAATCATTTGACAGGTCAGAAACATTCTGTATTGTTACATCTGATGATAATTCCACACTTTCAGTTTTGCAGTCATTGAACCTTATGGGGTGAATTCCTTGTGACTGTTCAATATCTGAGAATTTAATGAGGAAATCAACAGTTAATTTCCTGTTCAAGTTACCGTTTCCACCAGAAAATGCTCGTTTCTCACCATCTAATTGCACTTGCACAGCTGCATGTTTTCTGTTAATTTTATACATTACTTCTGCAGGATTTCCCTCAGGTGATTTAACATTTTCTTCACACGTGTCCCTTGAATTATCTTCATTCACACTACCATTTCCGCAGGAATCAGTATTCTCTTTTGGTTGGTACTGAGCAGCCTCAGCTTCAGATGACACTGTTGTCGTTGAACTAGTCGAGATCCACTTGGACCATTCATCACGGCTTCGTATCATGTCGCCCTATAATATCAATTACCAAGTAGAGACAAGGCCATTGAGGTGGAGAATAGCATCAAAAAGCAGTACCACTTGCCAATGTACCCACACAACAATCACAGATTGTCAACACAAGTTTGCCCCCCTCAAATTCACTTGAAACGCATAACGCACGCTTTAAAACTTAAGGTATGAATACCAACACTAACAATCAGTTTAAACCTTAAAGGTAAATTAAAGCTAAACCACGTGGAGAAGATAAAATTATATTGATTCAGAGCTCAAAATCAAACATGTGACCAGATTCTAACTAGTATGCATTAGTAAAAAAAAACCAAAATTTCATAAAAAGTAAATCCAGAAGAAAATAAAAGTCTAACCTGCACTTCTACAGTACTAGAACTCTGAAGCGCATCCATGATAAATTGTACGTCTGTACTCATTCGCTTAACCTGTGACTCAGAAAGTGAAAACTACTCAAAAGCATTAAACTAACAGTTCTCAGGCTAGGGAAAAAAAGAGAAGAGAAAAATTGTTAGAAAATCTAATTCAAATAGTTAATAAAATAACAACCATGACTAAGACAGAAAACTACAAAAACACAAAAACAGAAGTAGCATACAATCTATGTCATAAAAGCTACATAGTAGTGAGTTAACATACCCTTTTGAAGTCTGCAATTGTGGATATTGGAACCCATCCTTGATCATCCATCAAGGAAATTAGGTAACGGTCATGTTGAAGATTCTCATCACTGCAAAAAATAAAATAATAAAATAAATAAAACAAAGGAGTAAACAAGTAATAGAAACATATGCACATTATATATCACTGCAAATAAGCTTAAATTTATGGCAGTCATTAATGAAAAAAAATCAAAGTTCATATTTTTGGCCTCTCAACTTGGACCAATTGCACAGTGCATGAAACTAATGGTAGATATCTAAGAATATGATTGCTATGCCAAAAATTCCAATGACATATAAAAGATAATTGATATGAGGTCGTAAGTTGAAATTTTTCTAAAATGGATACCACAACATCAGTTTTTTACTAGAACTTTATCCCTTCAAAGGCCCCATAAATAGTATGTGTACAAATCAGACTTAAGTGCAACTACCACCACTGATAACGGCATTGATAGACATGGAAGTGGAAGAATTTAGAAACAATTCTAGACATGTGGTACCCAGCTACAATAGAATACAGACAAAGAACATATATTAAATGAATAACTAAAAGGCAAAGAGGCCTTCCTCACCTGAAATAATACTCAATCTGTTTCACTATATTAACTCTCAAAGTTACCATCTCTGGAGGGAGAACATTAGTCTCTGGATTTATAGGGTACGGAACAAAGCGTGGAGGATGGGGTCCCCTTATAGAGCCTGGAGGAGCAATAGGCACATAGCATACAGCTCCTGGAAGTTGTAATTAAAAAGGCTTTACTCTACCAAAGGCACAATATAAAGCAAGAGCTCAAAAAAGAACAAAAGGCAGCATCACCAGAGAGACTGAAATGCAGGCCTTACCTTGCAGGCAGATATAAGTAGCAATGAAGCTTAACAAATAACAAGTAATAAAACACATTGAAGTGTTTTAAATGAAAGCATGGGGATTGAGTTATTACCGGGGTAACCAGGACCAATCATGAACCCTGGAGCTGGACCAAAGAATGGAGGTCTAGCGAAAGATCTTGGTCCTCCGCCCGGCTGCATGGGAATGGGTTCTCTAGGATTAAAGGCCCGTTGATGGTTCCAACCTGGATTAAAATGGCCACCAGGTTCTTGCATGTTGGGTCTTCTATTAGAGAAGTTGGCAGGATGAGCATTGGCATCTCCTCGGGGAGGAAGCTGCATTTTTCTGCTGGCATCAAGACCTTGGGCTGGAGAACCAAAGGCTGGCATTGTTGTCTCAGGTCCAGATTTTACTAACTGAGGCTCAACACCAGGAAAAGGTCCAGGGACAGGGTGGTAAGCATACCCAGGTCCAGGAACTGCAATGTGTGGTGGAGGTACCATAGGATGGAAAACAGTTGGCACCAGTTGTTGATAATAAGGTAAAGGTATGGGAAAACGAGGTCCAGTATTAGGGTTGCGTTTAGAGTCTGACTTCTGATGGCGTGCTGGTGAATGCTTATACGAAGAATTGTTGTTTCCAAATCCATTCGGTTTTGGTTGCCCAGCTCCTCTCTGAAAGACCCAAAAAAGTAAAAAGAAATAAATAAAATTAAGATACACCGAGATAAGAATAAAACTTCCCTTCTTAATACTAAAAAAATATATCAGCAACAACTAAACACACCATGCCCCATGTAATACGATGACCTACAATAGAATCACGCATAAAAGTAACAGCGAATGCAAAGAAGAATTAAACACGGACAACCAGACTGGCTGAGAGTGAGAGATGGCTAACTGATGCAGGGTCAGAAATTATATTTCAATTCCTCCTAATATGTAAAAACAACTCCTACAATCATTGTTTTAACATGTATAAGAAGAGGAGGGTCAGAAATGGGGTGGTCATTACTCATTAGTCAATACAGCTTACCTCTACAAAAGATTTAATAGGGCATAAAATCAAAGACCAGGTCGCTGAACATTGAGCAATGCCTTGAATATCAGTTCTCTCAACATATTATTCAGGAAAATAAAGACATTGGTTAGAGATAAACTGATATTCAAGCAAACGTATAAGTTAAAGAAGGCCGGAAACCTGGTCTTTCAAGTTTTCCATTTGAAATGATTTTTAGCGGAACCAAATTACAACTAGTAGGCCCACATGTCACACTTAGTTAGAGAAACTCAAATCACACCTCCGGATTTTCAAATTTATCCAAATTTTACACTCAAAGGAGTGATTGATCACCAGTTAAAGATAAACCCATAACCAGCATCTGCAATGACTGGCCTGCCCTACTGGTGGATTGGGAGATAAACTGATTCAAATCAAAAGAATAGTAAAATTATGGCGATTGCGGACATAGTGGGCACTATTGCGGTCATGCAAGCACTATTTCCGTAGTGGACCGCTATTTAAATCCTGATTTTTAGTTAAACCACATTTACAACTTATAGTTCTACATGCCACACTTAACTCATAAAAACAAACTCAAATTACATCTAAAGATATTATCAAATTCATCCAAATTTTACACTGATAAAAGTGACCAATCACTAATTAAAGAAAAACCCATAACCAAAAGGGCAACGACTAACCTGCTCTATTGATGGGTGTGGAGCTGCTGGAGCACACTCATCAGCAGCAACCTGAGGATTTTCAGGTGTTTCTTGTGTACCACTAAGATCAGGCCAAGATTGGGTACCCATAACAGTTGCATCAACCACTTTCTCCCCGTCAATTACGGCAGTCTTCCATGGTGACTTGACCTCGTTATGACCATTCCCAGCCTCAATATCAGCCATAACCATAATAATCTCTACCACCACCACCCACTAGCAACCAGACACCAAAACCAACAAATCAAAACAACCACAAGGAAGAAAGGAGAACGAATAGTCAGTAAATCAATTCAATTCGTGATAACCCAAACATGAAAAAAATACTACACTATTCACTAAATGAAAGTGCTTTTATTCAAGATCAAGGTGTCGGGTGGGATTGTAACAGTGAAATATTTCGATTAAAAGTGGATTTTAGAGAAGTTTGGAAAAGATCGACAATTGCAGACAGAAACCAAGCACAAAACTAAGGAGAATGGTTAAACTTAAAAAAGCCAAGAAAGGCACTGTCTGCTAGTATCAATAGAAAAGTTTGGAAAGGTGACCCACATCCAAAAACCCTAGATTAAAAAGCTTTTTAAAGTTGGGCTGAATTTGTTTCTCATAATCGGAGGTAAGCTGCTCTCAATCTAGTGTTGGGTAGCGTACTATCTTACCTCCCCTTACCCCATATATATATATATATATGAGAAAAAGGGACAGCTATTTTTAGTTATTAAATTTAATGTGTGAATGTAAGACGTGTTTTGCCTCAATATGCTCAAACATTAGAAGATGTCGGGTTTGAAAGATGGTCAAGAGTATATCAACTTGGAGCAAGATATGGTTTCATGACGTTTAATAGTGCAGAATCAATCAATGCTCTAAGTCGTCATTCCCGAAAATTACCCATTACTATGTTAATGGAGTTTTTTCGAGCCTTTATTCAACAGTGGTACTACAAGAAAAGAAACCATGCAGGTATTATTTCTTTAAATTCGTAACTTATCATATTTAATATATTTTACTAAGTATTATTTATTTAAATTTACAGGAACATTGGAACGTCGTGTTACACCATGGACTGAAAAAAAGATAACAAAACGTGTTGTGAAGTCAACGTCATGGTGAGTTGAACCATGTTCAAACACTTTGTTTGAAGTATTGGATAATAACTTAAATGGGCTTGTCGATCTGAATGCAAAGACGTGTAGTTGTATGAAATGGCAAACATCTGGTTATCCTTGTGGTTATGTTATAAAAGTTGCTCTTCATCTAAACCAAGATGATTCAAGCGCATACGCTATGGATTGTTACACTACAGAAGTATATCGACAGACTTATGCCGAGATTGTCTACCCTATTCCACATCCTTCTGAGTGGACATACCAGATGACTTACAAACAGTTTTGCCACCAGTCATGGACAGCAGGCTATCTGGCCGACCAAAAAATCACGATCGTATACCATCTAAGGGTGAAGAGAAGAGAATATCAACATGTAGTCGGTGCAAGGAAAGTGGTCATACAAGGTTGACCTGTGGATCACCAGTGTCATCACAATCATCTTTTTCTCTACCAAAATATGGATCCTCATTAAAAGCCAAAGCTCATATGGTGCCAAGCAAAAGGAAATCAAAATTGCAATCAAAATCAAAATCCCAATCACAACCGGCTTCACCTTTAGGGACTTATTAACTTAGGTGATTTTTAAATGCAAACGTTATATTATGTGTATTTTATGTGTGAATGCATACATTTTCAGTTAGACATGTATTAGTAACATGAGTTTGAACATTGATATGATATGTTCAGTTGTTATCACTTATCAGATTATTGTCTGTTATCTTTTTAAATGTGTTTTCCTTGAATTCGCAACGCGAAAGTCAAATTCGCGTTGCGATTGTTGCGAAAGTGTACCTTCAACAGGTTTTTTTTGCCTTCAACATAATGCAAATTGAAATTAAACAACAAATCAATTAAACAAAAAAAACAATTCTTATTTACACATGACATCCCCAGACAGTATATCCAAATGCTCCTAACAATAGGGAGCTTACATCCAAATACATCAATTTGTTCACGCAGCTCACTTCAGGATTAACCTACAGAAACGTTATGGCCATGAGATTTTCTACACATCTAAAACCAACAAACAACAAATTGTTGAATTCTAGTTACTTAACCAAACATTTTCAAACCAACAAATAGTATATATGTTAACAACACTTGCTCAAACTTACCAATAACAAATGGTTGTTTATGCATACTTTTAGCACACGGATGCAGGTAGGCAACGTCTCGAATATATCGCTCTAGCCATAAAATACCGAAACCACAACCCTACTGCACCTCTATCTCTATCTGTGGGGGGTAGAATCTTTTTACCTCCTATCGTCATACGTTCCAAGCACATGCATACAAGAGGACCACAATCCCCTCTGGCTCCCGCCGTTTGTTGTGGCACTGTCTCATCTTTTATCATTGTAACTTTTAACTTATTTGGCTTCTTGTTTCCTGAATTAGTCCAATAATCAATCGCATCCAAGTATTTAGCCAAATGAGCGCTCCATCCCTTACAAATAATATCTTTCAAATCAGGCAATGGTGTGTAATTCAATATGTTGTCATATACTATCGTCTTTATGGATGGGAGCTGAAGCTCGACGAGAAGCCAATGACGACGTTCCATAACAGGGATAAACACCATCAATCATAAATAATAATTCAATTGCGCACATCAAATAAAATTTATGAACACCTTTAAAATATTCAAAAATAAATAATAATCTTATCGACCTCCCACCACGCAGGATAAATGATAGCTTTTCCATTACCCAACGCATATGAAACGTCTCTCTGATCCTTCAAGTGAGCTACGTGAAAAGACGAAGGCATAATAGTCCATTGCGTCTCTTTTATTTTCTTCAATTTCCTTATAATTATAAGACGTGACATACATGCATCAATATGTTGTTTTATAAAAAAATACATATATTAGTGAATTTAATAAATTTAAAAAAAAATAATCAAAATTCAATATAAGAATAATATAAGACTTACCCCCCATTCAAAATAGTCATTCTCTTCAACACCTAATAAGCCCCACCAAGTCCGATCAAGAAACAAATACATATTATCGTCGATTTTGCATATATCAGCGTAGCAACCCTGGCTCCTCTCATGTAGATAAAAATCAACTGCGGTCTTAGCCCAAAGGGTATTATCCATAATTGTGTCCGGTAGTGTTCTCATCTCTGCTGAGGAATGGTACTGGCCGGTAACTGATACGAAAGCCATCTTTGATCCATCATATCGGGCACGTGAGGGGGTTTATCAATAAGTCAACATAGTATGCCATGTGAATCGGGCTCTTGAACGGTGGGAGGCCTCTTAAATGATGAGAGAGGCCTCTTAAACGATGAGAGAGGCCTCTTGAACGATAGGAGGGGCCTCTTGAACGATGACAGATGAATCGGGCTTCTTCTTACGGAGTCTTGGAACTACTGGGGTGAAAGGAGACGTAATGACATGTGCACGACGTCTAACGTGAACCCCATCGTGCAAGAAAAACCCGACGTAAAGCATCTACCTTATCGGGCCGCTAAAATAAATTAATACATAAATCAGTAAATAAATAAATAAATAATGTCGAAAAAATATTATTTGCATTTTTAGTATAGTATTAAACAAACTTACCTCATTGCGTAGAGTATGAACCTCATTCTGCAACGATAAAACAATCTCACGTAGAACGGCTACCTCATCACGTAAAGTAGATACCTCACCACATAAAGCACCATTGTCATCGCGTAAAGCATCTACCTCACCACGTAAAGATCGTACCTCATCACGCCATGCACCATTGTCGTCACGTAAAGTACCGACCTCATCACGCAAAGCATTGACCTCATCACGTAACTCCTCTAACTCATCCCGTGGAGGTGGAGAACAGGGAGATAAATGTCATGGTATCTTTGTTGGTCGTCTATCATGAGGTGATGGTGGAGAAGAGGCTCGATGATGTGATGGAATAGGTGATGGCTCTGGGTGTCGAGCTTAAGAATTGGCTCATCCCATCATCGAAGTGGGGGGTGTTCATCATCCATCCCATCAAAAAAACGCTTACTAGCTTGCCACCAATCAGTGGCAAGCTCAGCCTCTGTGGGTGTCAGCCTCTGTAATGGATAGTTTGCCTCATAACAATATAAAAGCTCAAACAAAGTCAAACGTCTACTAGTAATAACTTGTTTATATATGGTAGTATTTGTGTTAACTTACATCATTCATCGTCGTATATGGTATTAAATCTTCCCAATCCAACAGTCGGATCCTTCTCCAGGTAATAGCCCTAGGAATATCATTTGACTTTTTGATGACATATGTCCGCATGCTGGGAAAAGCCTCAAATATCCAAATCTACAAACAATATAATACACAAACACTAATTTTAGTAATTATTAAATAATTAATTATAATTTTGGAAACATTATATAGAAATTCTTACCTTAAAGGCCCAAATAAAGCCTACCAAAGTATATTTGGAACCATGGCCACACAAACTACGACGGTTCTCAAAGGCAGTTGACAACTTTTTTCAGGTAGCTTTCCATAGATATGAACCCCATAGAAACACGTTCCATGCATCTAGGTCCTCTACCAATAATATTAAATCCTCAGAAATAGATTATTTGCCCTCTTTGTCTAAAAAGTCGGCATTCAAAAGTAATAAAATGCATACTCGGACAACATCAAGGTCATCAATCTGAGTAAAACCACCTTTAAAAAGTAATCTTTTACAATCGTCGACGTGTAAACTGGGCTTCACCTTTGCCAGCTCGGGAAAAACCCGAAATAACCATGATGGGCGGGCGATATGACTAGTGTACCGACCTACTTCATCGTGTCATCCGAAACGTAGACCAGTGATTAAACAAAACTCCTCCCGCCCAAAACAAGTATACGCCGGTGGAAAATGAAACCATATCTCTTCATCACCACGTTGTATCCTCTCGGGTAGATCGTTAGTCATGGTCTAAAGAAACAAATAGGTCAGCATAATATCTCCACCTGGATGTTGTACTTTCAGCCATGGCCCGAAACAAGTTTTCTCAAACAAATTCCTTTGTACATGTGTAAGTGTCGACGCAATTGTAGTGGCTAGGCTTAATTTATTCCTTAAAGTCAATAAAGCCGAAAAAATTTCCTAACAAAAACAATAAACATACCAAGTTAGATATACCAAAAACTACAAATTATACATTATAAACATATATGATATTAAACAGGGAAAATATAGGCAAATATGTTTCAAACTAGCACGGTATTCACCCAAGTCATTATTCTATCATAGTTCACATAATGCATCAGATAACATTCCAGAAGTAAGCACTTATATCACATTTAAAAGGACAACATATAGGTTTAGTGCAGGTTCAAGGACAACATAAAGAGTAGTAGTTTATTCTTGAAACTTAAATTCGCAACA